GATGTTCACTCTTGCCATCTCCTGTTTGACCACTTCCAATTTGCCTTGATTCATGGACCTAACATTCCAGGTTCCTATACAATATTTTTCTTACATCACCTGACTTTACTTCCATCACCAGTCAAATCCACAACTGGGTGTTGTTTTTTGCTTTGGCTCCATCCCTTCATTCTTTCTGGAGTTATTTCTCCACTGATCTCCAGTAGCATATTGGGCACCTACTGACCTGGGGAGTTCATCTTTCAGTGTCCTATCTTTTTGCCTTTTCATACTGTTCACGGGGTTCTCAAGGCAAGAATACTGAAGTAGTTCTCCATTCCCTTATCCAGTGGGCCATGTTTTGTCAGTATTTCCACCGTGACCCGTCCGTCTTGGGTGGCCCTACACAGCATGGCTCATAGCTTCATTCAGTTAGACAAGCTGTGGTCCATGTGATCAGACTGGTTAGTTTTCTGTGATTGTGGTTTTCATTCTGTCTGCCCTCTGATGGAGACAGATAAGAGGCTTATGGAAGCTTCCTGATGGGAGAGACTGACTGAGGGGGAAACTGGGTCTTGTTCTGATGGGCGGGCTATACTCAGTAAATCTTTAATCGAGTTTTCTGTTGATGGGCGGGGCTGTGTTCCCTCCCTGTTGCTTGACCTGAGGCCAACTCTGCTGGAGGTGATGAAGACGATGGTGACCTCCTTACCCGTGCATCCCATGCGCACACTGCTGCACTCACTGCCCCCGACCCTGTAGCAGGCCCTCACCGACTCACGCCTCCGCCGGAGACTCCTGGACACGGGCAAGTCTGGGTCAATCTCTTGTGAGGTCACTGCTCCTTTCTCCTGGGTCCTGGTACACAAGGTTCTGTTTGTGCCCTCCAAGAGTCTGTTTCCCCAGTCCTGTGGACGTTCTAGCGGCTCTATGGTGGGTTAATGGTGACCTCTGCCAAGAGGGCTTATCCCACACCTAAGTCTACTGCACCCAAAGCCCCTCCCCTGCAGCGTCCACTGCTGACCCTCACCTCCACAGGAGACACTCAGACACAGTTCTGGCTCCGTCTCTGTGGGTCTCTGGGTCCTGGTGCGCACACCCTCTGAGTGTCTCTGGCGGGATGGGGTTTGATTCTAAACAGGATTTTGCCCCTCCTACCATCTTGCTGGGGCTTCTCCTTTGCCTCTGTGGTTTGTTAACCAAAGCAGAATGTTTGTTTGTTTGTTTGTTTGGCCACACCTCATGGCTTGGGGGTATTTTAGTTGCCCTGCCAAGCAGGGGTTGAACCCCGGACATGGCAATGAAAGCGCTGAATCCTCACCACGGAACTGCCAGGGGGCTCCCAAAGCAGGACACCTGCAACAGTGAGCTGCAGACTGGCCGCTGGCCACTCCACTGAGCCTGAGGCCCAGGGCCCCTGTGGTCTGGGGAAGAGTGTCCTGACCTCTGAGCCCAGACAGAGCCTGAAAGGCAGGGGACGGCCTAGGCTGTCTGGGAGTTGCTGGCTGTCTGGATGGCCGAACATGGGGGCCGTCTCTGTGTGACCAGAAAGCACAGGGCCGAGTGTGAAGTTCACATCAGAGGAAGGTGTCATTAGCTTCCAATTAAAATAAATTAATTAATTTAATAATAAAATAAAGGAAGGTGTCAGTGAGCCCAGACTTTGCTCAGTTGTCTGCAACTCTCGTGACCCCATGGACTGCAGCCCACCAGGCCCTTCTGTCCATGGGATTCTCCAGGCAGGAATACTGGAGTGGGTTGCCATTTTCTTCCCCAGGGGGCCTTCCCAACCCAGGGATCGAACCCACGTCTCTTACGTCTCTTCCGTTGGCAGGTGGGTTCTTAACCACGAGTGCCTCCTGGGAAGCCCATACACAGAAGAGGGCTACATCCCTTAACTAAAGACGTCCGGTTTTCTTTTACAAACAGGAATCTTTTGATGTTGTGATGACATGGTCTTTGCAGATCCTGGCTCCCCCCCACCTCTTCGGCGCCATCCGTAGAGTCATGTGAGAGACTGTGTCCAGGGCTGACGCCCTCGGCTGTGTCCTGCGAATAAAGCACGGTGCTCAGCTTTTAGGTTGTGCAGGGTTTTGTCTGTTGACATCTGCCTCCCGAGGACGCAGCTTGGCGAGCTCACCTGGGCGTCCCTCCCCTGCTCAGGGCCTGCAGCCCTCCTCCGGGGCAGAAACCTTCTAGGCACAGGGGGCCTCGCTACCCCTCCAGGCTCCTGCCCTCACACCCCAGGTCAGCTCCCTTCCCCTCGTCCTCTATCTGACGCTCTCCGTCACCCCCCTGCCTTGCTGGCTCCTCCCCCGACTGAGGGCTCCTTTGAGCATCACTTCCCTGCATGGTCCTCCCCTGCCTCCCCACCCTGCGTGGTAGATGTGGTCCCGCGGTGCCCTGTCCTGCCTTGATGCCAGCCCTAGTCTGCACATCTCCCGGCAGAGCCTAAGCTTTTGAGGGTAGGTCTGTAGCTCACCTGGCGCCTCATGTTAGGTTCTCACGTGATTCTCACACTGAAGTCTGAGGACCACTCATCTGCCCCATAAGAAAACACATGGGGGGTGGGGAGTTCCTTTCACAGGGGCAAAATGTGTGTTTCTAACCTCGGGCAATGCTGCCCCAGTCATAATTGTCACCAATCTAGGGAATGTTCCCTGGGAGACTCTCACGGTGACGGGCTTCCTTGGGGAGGCCAGCCTTCTTCCTGATTCCTGCTGCTCTAGCTCAGGTCCCCACAGTGGTCAGCTGGAGCCCCAGCCTGGGAGCATTAAGCGCAACACTTGCTCTCGCCCTAAGACACCCTGCTTACCTTTCCTCCTACAAACTCAGAGGCCAAGTCAATCAGCTGCGTAAAGTCCGGAGGCCTAGCCACTTTTCCTTCCCTGGGGGAGTTAACCATGCTTCCTGCAAGGAGAAAGGCAGGCTGGGTCAGCATCAGGCCCCCAAACCAAGGCTACGTGCCCCCCACTGGTTGTGGGGGTACCTGCTGGCTTAGGGTCCCTCCCCAGCAACTTTGCACAAAACTGCAGTTGGGAGGGAAGTAGAGATGACCCCCATGTGAAGCATCTAAGAAGAAAATACACAAATTCTGCAGCCACAAAATGCAAAGTTTCATTATTCAAGGAGGAAAAAAATGCTTCAGTGTAGAAAAGAACAATTTGCCTTGAACAGTTTTGAGGTACATTCAAAAAATACATACTGGGCTTCCCTGGTGACTCAGTGGTAAAGAATCCTCTGCAGATGCAAGAAACACAGGTTCAATCCCTGGTCCAGGAAGATCCCACACGCCATGGGGCAAGTAAGCCCATGCGCCAAAACTACTGCGCCTGCGCTCTAGGACCCAGGACCCACAACTACTGAGACCCCGCGCCCTACCGGCCGCGATCCTCAAGAGAAGTCACCGCAGTGAGAAGCCCCGCTCGCCACAGCTAGAGAAAAGCCCGAGCAGCAAAGAAGANTCTAGGTTTTATTATCTCCTTTCCCGATTAGATGTGCTACGCTCCATGAGGACACGCGTGAGCCAACTCATTAGAGAAGACCCCGAGGCTGGGGAAGACGGAGGGCAGGAGGAAAAGGGGGCAACAGAGGACAGGACGGTTGGCTGGCCTCACCGACTCAATGGACGTGAGTTGAGCAAGCTCTGGGAGACGGTGAAGAACAGGGAAGCCTGGCGTGCTGCGGTCCAGGGGGCGCCAAGCATCACACACAACTGAGCAACTGAACGACAAATGAGGACACTGGTTTTTTCTTTTTTTTTCTGGCCCACTGGTGTCTCTTCAGGGCTTGGACTATTGCCTGCCACATACAAGATGCTTGATAAATGTTGAATAAATGAATGAGTGGATAATGCTTTCTTGATTTGTGTGTTAAAATACTGATTCCTCAAATGGACTAAAATCTTCCCAAGGATGAACAGGTGCAGAAGAAAACAGGACATTTATTTCCTGACATTTATTTGAGTTTACAATAGCGTCCTACACAGTTCACTTATTTTATCTCATTTTACCAGCTGAGCCACCAGGGAAGCCCTCTATTTTATCTCATTTTAATCCTCAGAACCACCCTGTGAGTTTGGTATTCACATCTTACAAACAAAATGCCTCTCTGAGAGGCCGAGTGAACTGTCCCAACCACACAGCTGGGCAGGGAACCCTATTTCCAACCCAAACATGTCCTGACATGACGGACATTTGAGAGCTCTCAGCCCGTTTCAGAGTCACAGAACGGATGCTCATCCATTAGTGTTAGGATCATCCAGTGGCTGAGGCTGAAGCTCCCGTGGTGGCCAGGCCCGCGGCCACACGTGGGACTGACTCCTGACCCCTGACCCCTGCTCTCCAGGGGTCACAGTGGAGGGCAGACACAGCAGGAGATGCAGAGACAAGAGGTATCCTCCTGGGGCCCCCTTTAGGAGGGACACCTGGGCTGGGCACCAAGGAGATGGAGCGACAGAGAGCACGTGGCCGGGTGGGCTCCAGGGCCTGGGGGCTGGAGACCCCACTGGTCCAGACCTGCATGGGTCATCCTGGAAGCCCCTAGTCACAGGTGGCTATTCAGCGAATTTTAAAGAATCACAAATGAATAAAAAGCTATTTTAAAGAATTACAAGTGAATTATAAGAATTACAGCAAATTTTAAAGAATTACAAGTGAATTATAAGAATTGCAGCAAATTTTAAAGAATTACAAGGGAATAAAAGTGAATAAAATAAAATTACAATACAGTTTCTCTTGTATTGGCCACATTCTGTGTGCTGAGTAGTCATGCGTGATTCCCAGGTCGCCGATGCAGAGAACTTTCCATCCACTCAGGACATTTACCACTCAGGACATTTACCGGCTGGAGAAGATAATAGTGGACGGCCCATCCATGCCTCCCCCCCCCACATACTCGCAGTCTCCAAACCTTTAACGCCAAAGGACAGGCAACACTAGCCCACCCGGCAGACGCGCCCTCACTGCGGCTGATCAAACGCTTCTTCCCTGAGCATCCCTGCTGTGCCCCCTGGCAGCCGTCAGAGCTCACACACTCCCTCAGCTCTGCTCAGCTCCGCCGGCCGCTCAGGGCACTGGGGGCTCAGAGGATGGGGCAAGGCCGAGCCACGGGGTGGACCCATCCCAGACTCAGTGGGTTGCTCGGGTGCCCCCCTGACCATCACCACCGCGACAGCTCAGCCTGTGTCCAGCGTCTTGAACAAAACCCACAGGGCCAGGCCCCGCGAGCACACTCAACAAAGACTTGTGAGTGTTTCATTTCTGTAGCTAGTTATGGAACATGTGAGTCACCCGTTGTTTCAAACAGGCTCGGCCTTGTTTCTCAGTCGGCTGCAGTGAGTTTGAGACACCCCCAGGACAGAGCATCTGCACGTTTGCCTGAGTCAGGGATGCAGGGTTGCCGGCTCGGTACCCCGCTGAATGGGAGGAGCCAGGCGTCATGGCAACGCAGGCCCGACCCACACGGAGCAGGCATCACTCTGTCTCCCTGCGTCCCAGAGAGCCGTGGCGGGTGGAGGGCGTTCTTTCTCACCTTAGCCGTCTCTTATCTTTTGCTTTGATGTGTCTCAGACTACACCAAACGGCTGGTATGACACGCATGGACCAGAGGCTGCAGATTCAAGGGAGAAAGAGATTAAGGGGAAAAAAATTTTACACTTTTTCCGTAGGTATTGGTGTCACCTTTTCAGGTTCTTCCAGCCTCACGCCCTGAAAACTGGTGCTCCATTTAGACAAAGAGCACTGCAGCGCAGCACTTGTTTTAAAAAAAGAACACGCCCTAACATGACATTGTTCATCGACTATGCTCCAATATAACATAACAAAAAAAGGAAAGAAAAGAATGCTCCCTTCTGGAAATGAATGTTTCCGTTTGGAAAATAAATACATAAAAAGTCCTTCTTGGGTCCACATTGGTCAGAGTAGCAGCACCCCCTACAGCTAAGGGGTAAAGCCTCAGAAGTGACCCTCGTCCGTCTGCAAGATACAGGCCGCGTCCGGGGCCACCACGCCAGGTCTTTTAACGTGGCCTGTTTCTCAGACGGGGTGAGCGCACTTTCCTCGAGTTCATTAACAATACACACACACACACACACACACACACACATATATATATATATATATATATATATTCATCAAAGGGCACTTCAAAAACAGCTGGAAGTTTCTTAGGTATTGGTGTCACCTTTTCAGGTTCTTCCAGCCTCACGCCCTGAAAACTGGCGCTCCATTTAGACAAAGAGCACTGCAGCGCAGCACTTGTTTTTAAAAAAGAACACGCTAACACGACATTGTTCATCGACCATGCTCCAATATAACATAAAAAAGAAAAGAAAAGAAAAGAATGCTCCCTTCTGGAAATGAATGTTTCCATTTGGAAAATAAATACATAAAAAGTCCTTCTTGGGTCCACATTGGTCAGAGTAGCAGCACCCCCAACAGCTAAGGGGTAAAGCCTCAGAAGTGACCCTCGTCCGTCTGCAAGATACAGGCCGCTTCCGGGGCCACCACGCCAGGTCTTTTAACGTGGCCTGTTCTCAGACGGGGTGAGCGCACTTTCCTCGAGTTCATTAACAATACACACATATATATATATTCATCAAAGGGCACTTCAAAAACAGCTGGAAGTTTCCGAGGCTGACTTCTGCTTTTCCCCATGAACTCTGGCATTTGGCAACATCTGTTTTAATCGGCAGAATAACCTTGGCTTGGGGCAGAAATTCTCCGCAGTGTCTTCCTTAGCCTTCCCTGGAGGCCACGTCTGCCTGCGTCCTGAGCCTGCATGCTTTGCTAGAACTCGGGTGTCACATGGGACCTTACAGCCACTCCGAGACCTAGTGACTTAAAGCTTTATCATTCTCCTGGCAAACTCCATTAACAGGTAAGATTTCGCTACTCAAGTGTGTTTAAAATGTGTTGCATTGAAATAAAAGAAAAACAGATCTTTGTGAAACACTGCAGAGGAGCCAGGATAGAGAGAAATCTCTGAGGAAAATGAAACTCCCAACTCAATTTAATAGAAATAGCAGGGGCAGAGGTGCGGGATGTGAAATCCAGCCCCTGTCTTCTCTTCAGACACTCACAGCTTTTCCTAAGACCCTGTGTTTAGACAAAACATCCCGCCCTTCACTCGGCCCTGGGGACTGAGCAAACAAGGTTTGATGCTGGTATGGGGTCCACTGGTTGCGCTGAGATGGTAACTATCTGCTACTTGAACCATTTGAGTGTGAAGTTAATGAAATCTAAAGCTCTGATCATAAGCCAGGTGTTATCTGAACAGCCAGAAGAGAGATTTCCGTCACTGTAGAAAGTTCTAATCAAGGTGGAGGTGTGTGGATGCAAAGTACATTGCTGCATGTTATAGGAGGGCACTCGTTATTTTTACGCCTTTTCACAGATAACCTTGGGTGTAATATCAATTTTCAGTAAGTCTCGAAAGTCTCTAACAACCTCCCACCAATGCAGGAGAGCCAGAGCGAACACTGCAGAGCTGCCTGTGGGCGTCCTGCAGTTGGAGACCTACTAGGTGCCCCTACAGTTGAAGACCTACTAGGTGCCTCAGAGTTGAAGATGTACTAGGTGCTCCAGAGTTAGAGACCTACTAGGTGCCCCTGAAGTTGGAGACCTACTAGGCGCCTCTGCAATTGAAGACCTACTCTTTGCCTCAGAGTTGGAGACCTACTAGGTGTCCCTGCAGTTGGAGACCTACTAGGCACCTTGGAGTTGGAGACCTCCTAGGCGCCCCTGAAGTTAGAGACCTACTAGGCACCCCTGCAGTTGAAGACCTAATAGGTGCCCCTGCAGTTAGAGACCTCCTAGGTGCTCCAGAGTTGGAGACCTACTAGGCACCCCTGAAGTTGGAGACCTACTAGGCACCTCTGTAGTTGGAGACCTACTAGGCACGAGGCATGGTGCTCAGACCATGACACAGGCTCTAATGCCCACGAGCTTCTTACAAGGTGACCATGTCTGTCCCCACGTTCCCCATGGATACCATGCACATCCAGCCCTGCTCGGTCTAGGCCTGGGGAGGGAGCTCAGATCGTCCCCTGCAGCCTCCAAAGCCAATGCTCCTCGCTCAGGGCTTGTCAGACGTGAGGCCACTGGCAGGTGGCCCCCCTGGCCACCGGGCCTCCCTGGATAGACACCTTCACCCCAGACTCGGGCCGCTCTCCGCCCATACTTTGGTCTCCTGCCGCATAACCACCTGATCACACCTCCTGGGGGCTGAGGACCCCACCACCACTAAGCCCCACCCTGCATGAAATCCTCGGCCAATCTGAGTGTGAGGGCATGGAACCCACCCACCAGCCTCATTCTGTTACCGAGTCCAAGCTTGCTCTGCTGGCTGCATGATGCTGGGAAACGACTTTATTCGGAAAGCCAGCTGACCGAGAAGACAGCAGGCTAGCACCAAAAAATAATCATCTTAGCGAGGTCTGGATGCCAGGTTCTTTTACAGATCAGAGATAGGGGGGAGATGAGGAAGCAAAGTAAAAAGGCCATTAGTCTTGCACACATCGAGAATGGCAAGCCTCAGCCAGGGGTTGTGTTCATTTCTTCCTTCCTGCCATTCACAGGTGGACAAGGCTCTGAACGAAGGCAGTTTGGTTTAACAGTCAGGTGGAGAGGCAGGGTTCTCTGAGGCAGGCCATTGTGTATGATTATAATAAAAAAGCAATGAAAAGCAAGCCAAAGAAACAGTTCTGACATGGAGCCACAATTGGATGCTTCTATGCAACAATTCCATTTCTGGAAGGCCACTGCGTGGCCTGCCAGGCCGCTCAGGCCCTAGCCCCTTCCTGCCCATGGGCCTCAAGCACTCAGTCATCAGTCTGTCTATCGCATCAGCCATCACTCCCAGAGCTTCTTCCGACAGCCAGCTGGGTACCGCTGGACACTGAGGATGAGACAGTAAACTGACTCACCTGCCTTCGAAGACGGCACTGGGAAAGAGTGGGTGGGATGAAGTGGGCGGGGCTGGGCCATGGTGGGTGCAGAGAGGTCCTCATGTCGGGGGGCTGTGGGTAGGCATTGACGGAGCAAACATGAAGTGGGCTGAGATTCCCCAGAAATGGGCAGGGTGTGCCTCGTCTCTGGAGATGCACAGGTCCTGGGGATTGTGCTCACGGGGAGACTCCCCAGCGGACTGGGTCTGAGTCCAGTGACAGGGACCCGTGAACACACACCTCCCACCGCAAGAGGGGGTCCAGGGATGGGGACCCATGAACACACACCTCCCACCGCCAGAGGGGAGTCCAGTGACAGGGGAGACAGAGACACCGGTGCCCATGGATGGTCCGTAACAGACACACAGTGGGCCCTAGTGTCAGCACAGCCCATCCTCCCTGCAGAGGGCAGAAGGCCCCCACCATTGTCTGCTCCTTCGTCCCCAAAAAAGACCTGTGTACATGTCGCTTGACATGGCAAGAAGGAGTTTGCATCTGTGACAAAGGTTATAGACCCTAAGAGAGGGAGGGGATTCTGGGTGACCCGGGTGAGGTTACCTTAACCACCTGAGACCTCTCGGGGAAGCAGGTTCTCGCCCCTCGGTGTATGGGGGGCTGTCCATGGCTCTGAGACTCAGGCGCTGTGGGTGCCCCAAACTCTCAGCTCATGGCCCCCCACTGCTTCTATTGATGGAGGAACCCCCAAACCTGACTTCTCTCATTCCCACCCGCTCAGACCACCCACCCACTCAGACTACCTGCTGCGTCTACCTCTACATCTAACTACTAAATACAGAATTCCCTTACCTCTTCATTTAAAATTAGCTTTTATATAATTCTAGGCAAAAGGCGAGACGTCCTCTAAAAGGGGCTGTGACTGAGGTCAGGCTGCGATGCTTAATGCACATGCTAAAGCTTTTCAGGCAAACTGCAACTCGGTCATCAGAAATCAGGAGCGTTACATGGGTTATTCCAGTGCAAGGAGGCCATTATTCCCTCCCAATGGAAAAAGCCTAGTCTTTAAATTTCATACAGTCAAGAGATATTTTCCTTTGGGATTTGCCCTAAAATGGGAAGGCGCTATGGGGTGAATCTAGGAAACGTGTGTGGAAGGTCTTTGTTCGAGGAGCCAGCCAGGCCGTGCTGACAATTCAAGAACAGCAGTGACTCCTGTCATCAGTGCTGATAAGCCCTAATTNTTGCCCTAAAATGGGAAGGCGCTATGGGGTGAATCTAGGAAACGTGTGTGGAAGGTCTTTGTTCGAGGAGCCAGCCAGGCCGTGCTGACAATTCAAGAACAGCAGTGACTCCTGTCATCAGTGCTGATAAGCCCTAATTAAAAAAAAAGCCTCTGGCCAGAAGTATGAGGTTTATAGCAAAATAGGTGAAGTTTATTGAAGTGCGGACAAAACTAGAGTGAGTGTGGGCAGTGACACAGAGGACCCCAAGGTCAGCACTGAGGCCCCTGGGGAACGTGACTGGGGATTTGTTTGGTGACTGGGGATTTGTTCGTTTTTCCCGGGTGTGGCTCTCCTTTGGAACAAAGTTTCATCTCACCCATGGGCTTGGCGCTGTCGGCATTTCTGTAGTTTTGTAAAGACCAAAATCAAACGATTTGAGCCCCAGCAGAGCAGGACCAGAGCCCAGAGCCGCTCAGCGCACTCAGGCTGTTCCCGGATCTGCAAACACTGTTCCTGGGGTTCAGCCACTCCCGACACCGAACGTCTGCCAGACCCGTCCCACCCTCCCCTCTCACGGGGGTCAAACACTTGCTGTGCTAGCACGTTCCTCTCTGCCTCCCTGTTCTTTCCACAATAACAACTTTAAAACGTGTTGTTTATCAACGGGCCTCCAGGCTCACCAGGAAGGAGTCTGATGTTCTGCACTCAGGACCGGGTTTCTTCCGTCCCACAAGCCAGCCTGGGTCGCACGGTGCCCGGGCGCCAGCAGGAGAGAATTCAGTTTCCCAGGGATGGGCTGCTCCTGTGTGATGTCACAAGGGCTGTGGGCGACAGAGCTCCAAGCTGAGCGGCCCCTCCCCGCAGAAGCCAAGGGCCCCCCCCAACCCCAACTGAACAATGTGGGCCTGAACCCCCCTCTGCCAGCCCTCGGGTCCCCGGGGGTCCGTCTCTAGGAGGCTCCCGTGAAAACATGTGTCCAGTACACCCAGCCGTGGGTGCCCAGCAGAGGGGGTGGGTGCAGGAAGGACCCTCCGCCCAGAAAGTGCAGACACACACGGAGCTTCCGGGGGCTAAAGGGGCCTGTGGGCCTGGAGAAAACATACCTGTGCCTCGTGGTGCAGGAAAGACACCTGCCCCGGCCCTGGAAGCCTGGGGTCTGGGGAAGGGCTCCCTGTGAGATGGGGACAGCTGAGCACTGCCTGACACCTGTGTTCATACATGACACACATGATCATGCCTGATACATGTGGTCACACCTGACATGCGTGGTCGTGCCCAACACACATGGTCACACCTGACATACACGGTCATGCTTGACACATGTTGTCTTGCCTGACATCCATGGTCACGCCTGATATGCATAGTCATGTCTGACACATGAGGGGCGCAGCCAACTGCACTCATCATCACAGCATCCTGCAGCGTGGTGTTATCCTGGCTCACAGATGCAGAAACTGCAGCCCAAGGTTGCCAAGGTCATCCTGGGAGCCTATGTCAGGAGCGGCTAACCCAAGTAGGGGCTCAGAACACCTGGTGTGCAGGTGCGCGGGCGCCCCTGCCCCTGGAGGCGTTTCCCACCCCGGGAGCCCCTCCCGCTTCCCTGCCAGGGCTCTCCTCCCAGGCCTTGGCCCACGTGGCTCCCCCTGCACCCCCACTCCGCCCTGATGGAAAGGCTGTCCCTGTCCCCCTCCAGGAAACTGGCTGGCTCCCACCAGATCCTCTGGTACCCAGGGGCACGCATCTTCCCTTCCAAGTGAAACTCTTAACAGCAAAACCCGTCCTGTGCTTCTTCACGGAGCAGACTGTTTTAATTTAAATTAATGGGTGTGCTTCTGTCCTGATGTCTCAGGTCACCCACAGCCTCTCTGGAAGCGGCAGCCACAGTGTCCAGGCCGCGGCCTCCAGTGGGTCCCCAGAGCAGGAGGGCCTCGCTGTCCTCCGCTTCTCTGAGTCCAGCCAGACACAGACAGCGGTCACAGCAGGGTTCTCAGAGCTGGCGGAGGCTGCCGGCCCTGCAGGCCCATGTTCTGCAGTATGTTTGGGCTTCTCCCTTCCTTGGACGGAGCACCCGACAATCTGCAGTCTTTCCAAAATTCCTTTCACCTGCCCCAAATCTTTCAACAGACCCCCTTTCTACTTATATCAGCCAGACTCTGATTTTCTTGCTTACAGCGAAGAAACAGTCCTGCCCTCAGTTCTGACCTGCTGGATTAAACTGGGCTACACCTGGTGACCCCCCCCCACCAGGTCTTCCCCTGCCACCTGCCCCCAGGAAGGGTGTGGGTTCCGCCTAGACCCGACACCAGAGGTGGCCGGTGCCCACGGGCAGAGGGGCAGATGTCAGAGCCTTTGTCACCCTCACTAAGAGGCAGGGATGTCCAGACAAAGGCTGCCCCAGGGACAAGAATATACCCACAGGACATCTGTCTGCGAGGAAACACCTTCCTGCCAGTCTAGCTGCGGCCTCCGCCCCCAGACCCCCAGGGCCCAGGGCAGCAGTGGGTGGGGACCAGGGCAGGAATGACAGCTCCTGGCTAGAGCCGTCCGCCCCGCTGCAGTCGGAGCAGCCACCTGCGGTTACACTCGCACCTGGAAGGGACCCCACCCGAGCTCGATTCTTTCCTGACGGCCCCCCGCGGCTGGGTCTGGGGCCCCCTGCTCCCCTCCCTCCCAGGCGTTGCGGCTACAGTCGTCACCCCCTGCAGAGGCGTGTGGCCCTGCCTGACCACAGACCGAGCCGCGGGCTTCCTGCGCGGCCTGCTGGCACGGGGCCTCCCAGGAGGGCGTGGCGGAGGAGGGGGCGTACATGGCTCCCTCTGGTCCCTATGAGAGCACAGAGGTGCCCTACTCCGCCTCCCTTTAAGAGAGGGACCCAGACCAGGGAGGTGAGGGCTTGCCCTGGGCTGCACTCACCCCAGGAGAAGAGCCCGGCTAGGGCCGGGTGGGGGCACCCTTGACCCACCCTAGAACCAGGGCGGTTCCCTCCCCGGTGACGGAGCGCAGTCTCACAGGCAGAGGTTCCGGCCCTCACGCTGGCTCAGGCTTCAGGACTCCCAGGCCGGACCCCTCCCGGGCTTCTGGCCCGCACCGTCCTGCGCAGTCAGCTCCCTGGCACCGGCCCCCTGGGCTGGATCTGCACGTCCTGTGAGGGGCAGGCACGCGGGCCAGCTCAGGGCAGTGGGCTGGGGGTGGGGATGCCTGCAGACCTCGGGGTGCTGTGGGGGCACCCACAGAAACCCCGAGCAAGGCTGCTGTGGTACCTACACATCCACAGGGTGCTCGGAGAGGACCAGCCCTCTGACGGAATCTGGCCCCTTCACCGCACTGGGCATCACCCGGCCTCCCCTTTGACCCAGTGGCTCGAGGCAGACCGTCCCTTCCTCTGAGGCAGTCAGTGTACAAGCTGCAGAATAGTCGGGTAACAGGGCCTCGATCCCAAAACGGACTCGCAGGAGGCCCTGAGACTGTCTCCCCCAGCCCCCTTCTGGCCCCCAGCCCCAGGTGTTTTCCTTCGTACATGCATCTCTATATGCTTCCTTAGAAAAATGAAGATGTTTGTTATTTGCTTGCTTAGAAAAATGAAGATGCTTGTTAATTTTTTTGCTGAGGTTTCTGACATACAGGAGGAAGAACCACGGGTGACTGTGGCAGGCAGCTTCTAGAATGGCCCCCAGTGGCCCCACCCCCAGGATGCCCCTCCTGAGTATAGGCTGGGCCTGGCCACTGGCTTCTGAGACAGGGATGCAGACTGGGATGGGGCGTCACTTCCCTCATGGGCTCAGGCTGCACTGCTCGGAAGCGCCAGTGGTCATCGGGAGCTGCCCAGGGCAGAAGTGCCCAGCGAGGAACCCAGGCATCATCCAGCCACCTGTGTGGCCTCATGGTCAAGTGTGGCCAGTGAGGCAGAGCCTGGCTGTGCCTGGCGTGAAGTCCTGCCCCACGGCACCTGCAGGGACACTGATGATTTGTCACAAGTTGCTGTTTGGGGGTGACAGTGATACAGGAATAGACAAGGAATACTGCTACTGAGGATGTGGAAGACAAAAGGACACCGTACATTCAATCATCAGATTAGAGTCTTTATTTTTCTTGTTCTTGAAATCTGGGTTTGCAGCAAAGCAAAATTGTCTCTACTTGATTAATAAAGAAAAGGAACTTATATTTTAATATAATTTACAGATGCATGATAAATTTAAGAGGATGCTTTTCCACACATAGTCCTTTAAGACCTCACTACCATTGTTCGCACTTAACTGTTGTAATATTTAAAGACGTCATTTTATACTTTGGACAAAGCCAAGAGCAATTCTGAGTAATAATTACATAACAAACATTCTGGCTACAAGTTGTAAAACGTTAGGTTCTTCAGGAATAATACCCAGAAGCACTGTTTTTCCTTTCAGACCCTGGAGATGCAGGGGCCCCCTACACGTGCTCCTTGTCAAACTCGCAGAGGAAGTGCATGGTGAGGTGGCAGGCCACGTCGTTCCAGCCCCCTGAGGCCACCAGCTCCACGCAGTCCTCCTCATCATAGGCATTGTTGGGTTCCCCGCTGCGCCACTTGCTGAAGGTCTGCATGGGCGAGCGGTCCGCGTAGACGAATGCGCCCTCCCTCTCCAGGTCGTTGATGCCGATGAAGACGCGAGCCAGGCCGGCCTGCGTGATGTAGGCGGCCAGCAGCGCATTGGCGGCCTCGTCCTTGGGCATGCTCAGCGTGCCGCCCCGGCCCTGGCAGGCCAGCTGTGCGTCCATGTAGCGCTTCTCCTCCTTCACCAGCAGGTACATCTTCTGCTCTGTCTCGCGCACCCCGGCGACGGCTGCAATGATAGGGCTGCAGGGTGAGCGCTGGTGGTCCCCGAACAGAGCACCGACCCAGCGCACCGTGCAGCAGGGGCAGACAGAGTCCTGGCCGGCCCACGGAAGCCACCCCCGCATCCAGCAGTCCCCGGGGCAGGGCTGGGGGAGGCCTGGGAGCAGGAAGGTGCCTGGAAGCACGTACCGTTCTTTATGAACTTCAGCTCAGCTGTGAGCTGGGTGACCTGGTTGTCCATCTCCCCGATGGCCTTTCTCAGCTGGCTGCACTCGCACGGGATGCCTGCGGATGGAGACCACGGCCAGCATGTTAGGAGATGAACCCCCTCCCCAAAGCACGGACGTGATGCAGCAGACACACAGGCCGTCCAGGCTGTGAGCGAGACCTAACCCTAAAGGCAAGGAGCGGTGGGAGGGCAGCAACAGGAGCGCCCGAGTCAGGTCCGAGTTTCTCAGTCTCGCTCTGGTCACCGTGGGAAGGAAATCAGTGGGGTGCAGAAGTGGGACGGGGTGGGCGAGAGTGGGTGTCGTGACTGTCACCGCTGGAGGATATCTGGACCATCATTGCCGGGGGCGGGGGGTGAGGGATGGGGGGAGGTGGAGAGAAGACGAGACGTGGAGCTGGAGCCCTTGGGTGATGTTCGGTCATCCATGCGTGGCCCAGCACGCTTCAGTTTAGTTATCTCCTCCTGGCCTCTCGAGAGGACCCTAATCATCATGCCCTGAAGAGCTCCACGAGGTAAGGAGCCTTTTAGGAATGTCACTTGGCCGTCACAGCATCCGGGTCGACTTGCAGGTGGAGTCACACCTGGCTCCAGCCTGGGCTCCAGACCTGGAGGGGCCGCTGGCTCCGCCCACCCGCGGCCCCGCCCACACAAGGCTCGGCCCACCCACCAGCGGCTCTGCCCACCTATGGCTCAGCCCGCCCGCGGCCACGCCCACCTATGGTCCCACCCACCCGTGACTAGGCTCCGCCCCCACCCGCGGCCCCGCCCACCAGCAGGACTCGTCAGCGTCGGTGTCTGGCCCGTCGTCCAGACTCCCAGCCACCCTTTATCACCGACAGCCCGAACAGCCCCACCACCCGCAGGGCGCCCCCTCCCGGGGCACTGGCGCCGCCGCGCCTGGGTGCGGTCGCTCTGAGGGCACTTGCTTTTCAGAGAAGCCGGGTGCTCAGAGCAAGCGGGCTCCCAGAGACGCATCAGGAAAGGACCTCTAGGGGTCTTTAGGACCCCTGTGTCTGAGCCGGATGAGGAGCTGGGACCACATGCAGTCGGCAGGCAGACCACGGCCCTAAGCAGGACGCAGACACATTCAGGCAGGAGGGAACCAATCACTGAAGGAGCCTAGGGATCGGCGCCAGGGAGGGGGGTGGAGGGTGGCAGGTCCGGGTGCTGTCATGATTTAAGCTTTTAAAAAGTGCAGTTTGAACACATGTTTAAGAAAGCCTTGGACCCTTTATGCCATACCTGGTTCTCCATTAGGGCCAGGGGGTCCTATGTCACCAGAATCTCCTTTTTCACCTGCAAAAGAGAAGCAAGGCCAAAGTCACCACGCAGGGGTGGGGCGTGCTCCATGAGCTCAGAATGTCCAGGTGACAGTGTTCATTCTCCCATGGGCAGTGCCCTGGGGTTTCTCCCAGTCCCTCCTCCTGCGGCAAACTGTAGGGAGGTGCATACAGTCTGTCGACGATTGCCTCTCCAGTCTCTGCTTACATGACTGGGAACACACACACTGCATGGGACTTGAGAGGTTACCAGACAAGCGTTCCTTCATGTCAGTCCTGGAAAGCCAGTGTGTTTCCTAGAACATCCATCATCTCAGGAAATCTTAGGCTCAGTGCTAGTCCTGTCCGAGTCCCTCATCACAGCAAGAGAACCCAGGTGGAACATGTGACCTCAGAGATGAGTGGACCTTACGGGTTACCCAGCCAGACAGAGTCAAGATGAGACTGATCCTCCCCGACCCTCTCTGGGAGGCAGCGAGGTGTCACCATGGACACCTGGGCACCGGCCTTCTGTGGTCAGGACATGACACTCAGCCACTCTGCCCCTCCATCTCTCCCAACTTATGAAACAAGGGGGTCAGAGAAAGCCACAGAGACAGAGCTTCTAGCTGCTTTGAAATTAGACGATGGATATTTATTTTTAAATCACAGGGATGTCCCTAAAGCATAATCATTCTTCCCACTGAGAGAACCTAAGCATCTCCACTGACCTGGCAGTGAAGGGATGGTGAAGTGCATATCCTTGGAGACCCGTGTTCTGTCTGATGGAGACGGAGAGAGCTTGGCAGGCTCCACCCTAGTGATGCCTTTGTTTTATCAGCATCAGGAGCTTGAGAATGACACAGGGTTCAACCTGACAAGGGCCAGCATGGCAGCCCCAGCGACACAGAAGCCCAGGTAAGCTGAGCCCCCTGAGTGCCTCCAGGGCAAGCTGTCCCCCTGAGACCCCGACATTTACCCAGAGCACGCGCTGTGTGTCACAAGCATGCACACCCCTACTCCTAGGCAACGTCCTCTGCCTTTTGCACAACGGCTAAAAGGCAGAAACCCCTCCAGCGACCCTCAGCAGATGAAGGGGCAAGCACAGTGTGATCCATCCATGCAACAGAATATCGTTCAGCCTATGGAGGGAGGAGGTCCTGACGCCTACTGCAGCAGAGATGAGCCTCGGAAGCATCGTTCTAGTGAAATAAGATAGAAAAGCGCAAATAGTGTGTGATTCCATGTATGTGAAATATCTAAATGGGCAAGTTCACAGACAGAACACAGATAAGTGGTCGCTGGGGCTGGAACAGAAAGGGGAGTTACTACTTCATGAAAACAGAGTTTCTCTTTGGAGTAACAAAAGCATTTTGGAAATATATATATTTTCAAATATCTCTCTATATATAAACCAGCAGTGGTGGTTGTACAACATGGCAGTGGTACTTAGTAGCACTGAATTGTACACTGAAAGTGATGCATTTTATGTTATGAATGTTTTACCACCACTTTTTAAAGTTTCCTGGAAGCAGTCGTGTCCTCCTCTGTGTCACGCACGTCTGTGTGCTCCATTACAAATCCCCGGGGCAGGGGCTCCCTGCGGATTTGCTAGGGACAGAGGCGCTCTAGGGACAGTCCCTGTCCCCAGCGTGGGGCCCGAGGACTGTGCCCTGTCACTCCATCTGGGGCTTTGAGTCACGAGTGGGTCTAGGTGATCTCTCCTGATGGTGGCCACAGGGACCTGCCTTGGCCCAACCTAGTGATGCATTTTATGTTATGAATGTTTTACCACCACTTTTTAAAGTTTCCTGGAAGCAGTCGTGTCCTCCTCTGTGTCACGCACGTCTGTGTGCACCATGACAAATCCCCGGGGCAGGGGCTCCCTGCGGATTTGCTAGGGACAGAGGTGCTCTAGGGACAGTCCCTGTCCCCAGCGTGGGGCCCGAGGACTGTGCCCCGTCACTCCATCTGGGGCTTTGAGTCACGAGTGGGTCTAGGTGATCTCTCCTGATGGTGGCCACAGGGACCTGCCTTGGCCCAACCTGGCCCTGGCAGGAACAGCTCTTGGCCAGGACTGTGATGGAGGGTGTGCCCACTGGGCAGAGCTGACCACAGCCAAGCTCCCTCACCCCTAACCCCCCGCAGCCTTCCAGGCCCCCCCCAGCCTCGGTCTCCTGCTGCCAACACCTGCAACAAGACCTGAGGGAAGCCTCCATGGGACCAGGGGCTGCCTGCCTCATCAGGAGCCTGGGGGTCCAGCAGAGGTGCAGATAAGCCAGGGGCTCAGAAATCATTCGCTGACAGAGGGTGCAGGGGGCAGTGCATGAGGCTGAGCCACCGCTTGACTGCCCTGGGCCTCGTCTCTGAAGCCCACCCTCCAGGGTCGTGCAGGTCAGACAGGGTGACGGGGGCCCTGATGCTTGTGGGGAGCTGCCCTCCAGTCCCAGGAAGTCTGAGCCCCCGAGCGGGAGGTGGACACACGGTGCATCCAGAACACCGTCCTTCCGCTGCTCAAACGGGCCTCCTGATTGTCCCCCGAGACCGGGCAGCTCGTGAGCCCTGCAGGGTGGAGGCACCCCTGCCTGGCGGCACCCAGTCGAGTCTAATCACTCCCCAAAACTAAACATCAGGGCAGACCCGATCACATGTAGAGCACATACAATGAACACGTCCTCCAGCTGCTCTCCGAGCGCCCATTGGTGAGCCCGCGAGCGAGCGTGAGCCAGAGGTGTGAGTGAGATACCTTTGGAGCCGATGGGGCCGATCTTCCCGTGGCGCCCCACGCCGCCTTTCTGTCCTTTATCGCCCACGTCGCCTGGGGAAACAACAAGATCATGGTCGGCCGAGGCACGGGTAACGTGTACGGGTAACGCATACGGGTAACGTGTACGCATGCCAGCCTCCCCGAACACACACGCATGCACACACACACAGCCACGCACACATATGAGGAGGCAGGACATGAGGCGAGTCCTGCCCCAGACGCCGTGTGCCCTGCGTGATGCTGGGGACACAAGAGCATCACAGCTCAGCGTCTGCCGGAGGAGGCGGCTGTAACCCCGGTGACGAGTGTTGTAACAGGAGACACGTGGGGGCCTCCTGGGGTGGTTCGGCTGGTTTTCACAGTTTCCTCATTGACCCCCAGGGTCCGCTGGGACGATTGCCATGGCCTCCTTAGGGGACGTGCAGATCCACTAAATTAGATTAACCTTGGGCTCCACCGGCAGCCTCGTGAAGACCCATGCCCAGAGCAGCTGGAGGTCTCGGAGACCACCCACCCAACCACAGCTGCAGGCGGGAGGGTAGAGACACAGTCAAGGGACTTGCACCTACAGTGAGGAGCTGGGCGAATGGTTCCCGGCACGAGGACCCCACTGGAGACGGGCGGGCCACTGGAGCCTGGGGAGTGACCTCCTGCCTGGGGAACATGCCGTCTCACTCAGAAGACCCACCACCGCAGAGGAGCCTGGGCCACATTGGGATAGGTCGGGTGTGAGCGCGGGCCCGTCACCCGGAGTCTGCTGTTTGCTAAAAAGATTCCAATTAGAAAAGGTGAGAACACCGTGCGGGCCTCCTACAACCTGAGGTTTACTTCTCCCTGAGACCCCTGCAGTGGGGCGCTCAGAACAACACCTGCCCACCCCTCTGCTCCCCCGAGAGGGCCCCTGCCGCCCCAAGCAGACAGGAGAGGGTAGGAGGTTGGGAGGAGGGCCTAGAGGGGAAGCACCTCCATCAGGGACAATCTGGTGAAGTGCTTCCTGCCCCGCTTCCCCCACCACATGTAAAACCTCCCAGCTTAGCAGTCGATCAAGTAATGATTCAGTTCATCTGCTGAAGGACGCAGTCAGGGTCTAGCACACATCCTGCTGTTGTAAATAAGTCATAACTGGAGGATGATTGCAGAGCCCCTGGCGTTCAGCCCATCTGTGAATTGCGCAGCCGAACTTCACCACTAATTCAAGGTTGCCGCTGACACAGGGCACCTGTCCCCAGCATGTCTGTGTCCAGCTCCTGCCCTTGGAGGAGTGTGGGACGTGGTCGCTGCTGTAGGGAGCTCTGAGAAACCAGGTACAGATACGGGCAATCAGACAGTCGGGCACTAGCGGCTCCTGGGTCAGGGGACAGAGGCAGGCCTGGAGCCCAAGGCTGACAGGGAGCGAAGGCGCTGCGGTCTGCAGACCCGGGAAGAGGCCCCCTGGGGCTTGTCACCACGGATGACTGGCCCCACCCCAGGGGGTACTCCACAGGTCTGGGAGGGGTGTCCCCACAAGCTCCCAGGTGATGCAGATGCTGGTCTGCATCCTGGTCCCAGAACCAGGCTTGGGACCCCTGAGGTTTTGGGGGCACGAGAAGGCTGGAGGTGCAGGAGGCCACCCGTGCAGGCTGAGGCTGGGGCTCAGCCAGCCCTGCATCTGGGCCCTCAAAATCGACTCTCTCCAGACGGTGTATAATAATGCCCTTTTTGTGGTCTGCGATGCTGGGTGCACGGCGCTGCCCACCTGCCCCGAGGAGCCATGTGTGGGGCGCTCAGAACTTGGGCCCTGGCCGAACTGCCCCCGTCATTTGACCCCACCTGGACCCACACAGACACACAGAGCCCTGGGCCAACCAGCTCACACCCCAGAGTCTACATTTTAACACATCCCAGGGTGACTCCAAGACCCCGAAGCTAGAACAGGACCGGGCCTGCTCCCTGCCTGGTGGCCTCACAAGAGGACCTCTGTGCAGAATGCTGGGCGCTGGGGGAAGCTGGGCCCCAGGTGTGGCCAGCATGACCAGCACCCTGCCCTGCACGGTTCCCACACATCAGGCCCCCCAAGGGCAGAGTGACAATAGCTACCAGCTGTGGGTGCTGCTGCGGGCAGTGTTGGTGCTGGGCAACTCGTGCACACACACATGTGCGCACACATATTACACATGTGTGCACATATATACGTGTGTGCCTGTTACATGTGTACCCACACGTGTATGCTAATGCATATACACATATACATGTGTGCACACGTGCGTTCATGCAAATATGCTCATGCACATGTCTGTGCATGTATATGCATGATATACACATACACATATGTGTACACACATGTCTACACCCACACAGACATGCACACATGAACGAACACCACATTCAGACATTCAAACGTAAACACGCACCCTGCAACCCTGTCATCCTTGCAGAACTTGGGCTGGAATTGGAAGCAGGAGCCAGCAGGTCCTGCGCCCTGACCCTGCGCACACAAGACCTTTGAGGGGTGGGCTGCTGCTCCTCATGGAATATTCTCTCTGTGAGGTTTGCTGGAGAAGGAAGAGGCGAGAACCACTGGGTCGCCTGACATATCCACACGCTCTCTGCTTGAGGGCGACCCACGGTCAACCCGAAGCAGCAGAAAAGCCGGGTGACTGCTAACCCGGCAGGGACTGGATGCACCAAGAGCCCACTGCCTTTGTCGTGCCTCCTCTCGAGTCCTTTAGGACAAAAAAGCAAACCCCCCTGCTCTGGGGGTGGGGGAAGACCGGGAACACACTGGGCACACTCAGATCCTGTCCCTCCACACCTCCGGAGCTGGCGGTGGCGGCGGCTCCCGGGGAGCCCGTCCCCTCCGCTGATGAGACGGGCACTGCACACAAACGTCCTCTGGACACGCACGAGGGACAGGGCTTGCAGCCGGCTGGTGAACCTGATTAATTTTAATGAAGATCTCACACAGTCCTTTGAAGAGGAGACGGGGCAGAAAGAGCACTTGGCAGCCCGCTTCCTCAGCGATTTTTAATGGGGATGACTCACGCGTTCCAGCGCCCAGAAAGCCCATCAGGGTTGGGATCACACTTCACCCTCCCGGGCCGGGAGGGGCCCCAGCTCCTGCGCTCGGGGGCCCAGCAGGCGACCTCTTAGCTGCGTGTCTGGGGGCTTGAGACGACACATGATTAGCAGGTGGTGTCAGCAAGCCCAGCTCATGCCGTGTGCACAGGGCGTTCGGGCAGGAAGTGTGGTCAGGACTCGCATTCCAATGAAGGACCCCGACAGCGGTGGGGGGGCGGGTGGTCTGCCGTGCACGGGCTGGTCTTTGTTCTTCCAGAAAAGCCAGCCAGCAGCTTGCAGGCACTTTCAGCTGCAGCTGCTTTGAGTTCCCAGCAGGGGGGCTGCTCCGTGTGTGACCAGAGACCCCTCCCCCCAACACTCGGCATGCCAGCCAAAGAGGGAGGGCCCCTGCCTGCAGCAGCCCCACGTCGACACAGCTGGCCCTCCATGGGAGCTGGGCTGAGAAGGGTGCCAGGGGCAGGGTGCTGTGGTCCCACCCACCACACCCCCTTGGTGCCGGCAGACAGTCTTGCCCACCTCGGCCACCCCCCAAACCAAAGCTGAAGCTGTGTAAGCCCAGCTGGTCCTCCTGCTTGGAGGAGCATCTCAGAGCAGAGTGTCTGCCTGATGGGCAGGCAGCAGGGGGAAGCCAGCCCAGAGTGGCCAGATGCCTCGGCCACAGACCATCCCCTCCTCCCGGAACCTGAGGAGGGGCGGGTCTCTGCCTGATGGGCAGGCAGCAGGGGGAAGCCAGCCCAGAGTGGCCAGATGCCTCGGCCACAGACCATCCCCTCCTCCCGGAACCTGAGGAGGGGCAGGTCCCCGCACAGTCACCCAGCTGGTCCTCCTGCTTGGAGGAGCATCTCAGAGCAGAGTGTCTGCCTGACGGGCAGGCAGCAGGGGGAAGCCAGCCCAGCGTCGCCAGATGCCTCGGCCACAGACCATCCCCTCCTCCCGGAACCTGAGGAGGGGCAGGTCCCCGCACAGTCACCCCGGCCCTCAGACAGGCCACTCACAGATTTTAGAGGCATTCCTTCCAGGTATTTCCCAGACAACTGACTGAGGGCCTTCCAAGGGCCGGGTCCTTGATGGGATGGGAAGACTCCAGTCAGGAGCCAGGGGAGAAGGGAAGGAAGGAGTGCCACGGGGAAAACGGTGCAAAACCAGGGAGACTGGACACCCAGGGGGCATTCGGGACATCTGGAGGGAATTCCTCACACTTTCTCAGCAACTCACAAAAATGTTCCTGGTCGGACAACTAGGATCCCACATGCCTCGGGGGAGCTAAGCCCACGGGCCAAAACTAGAGAGCCCGTGGGCAGCAACGAAAGCTCCCGCGTGACGAAACAAAGATCCCTTGTGTCCCAGCGAAGGCCTGATGCGGCCAGGTAAGTCAACACGTCTTTTTAAAAAGCACACTGATGTAGCCTCTCACTGCTGCCAGGCTGGCGGCTCTCCGAGGCGGTGAGGGTGATGGCGGATGGCCTTCTTTTGCTTCAGTAAGAAAGGGTGGACAGATTTGACCCTTTTGAACGGCCATATCCACCCATATTTCAAAGACACCATCATTTCAATCTACAATTACATGCCTGGAATTTATCTTCCAGCTCCACTCATTCACATTAAGAATGACATTTAAAGATGACTCACTGCAGCCAGGCCCTAGGAAACTGCAAACCTGCCTTAACAGGAGACCAGCCAGATAAAACCCAGACACCATGTCGTCAGGAGGGAGCGAGCAAACCTGCGTGTCCTCCTGTGGATGGATCTCCAAGTACACAGACAAGGGGAAAGAATAAAACGCACGACAACACATACATTTTGCAACTGCTCTACAGAAGCAGGAAAGAACAGAGCTCACTTGGTTCCAAAATATCTCTGCGAAGATGAAGAACCCTGAGAGTAGGTCAGTGGGGAGGGTGGCTGGTGGGGAAGGAAGGAGGCTAGTCCCTGGGGATATACGTTTTGAACTTTGAGCCAGGAGCATAGTTGGTTTATTTTTGAATTAATTTGTTCCAAGTAAAGGCAGAATAACTAAAAACCAGCTCCTGGGCTTGATGGAGGGGTGGTGGTGACAGAAACGCTCTAGGTCTTACGTGGGACCAGGGTTTCACAGGCCGAAGTCACGGATGGTACATGCCAAAAGGAGACGGTGGGTAAATCACACCTCGAAAAAATGAGGAAACAGGGCACGGGCCGACAGACATAATGGCCTTTCACCACCTCCACCTGACACCAGTGCTGTGAGCTTGGCCGGGGGCGGGCTAGACTGTCTCTGGGCGTGTTCTCCCAGGACAGTGTCCCAGCACTGACAGGGCCCTCGACACACGGCTTTTAAGGACTTCGCAAATTTTAAAGCAGCCGCAGTAAGTGTCCCTAAAGAGGATGCTTGCTGACCTCATTGTGCACCGTGTAGCTGCTTCCCTGTGAACCTCAGCACCAGCCCAGGAAGCAGGCTACCAGACACCATTTTACTAGCGAGGGAACAGGTGCAAAGTGACCTTCGTTCTTGGGTTTCAGAACCCCCCCAGAAAATGACTAGCGTCCATCAGCCATAAATGGGAGGCCACAGAGTGACCCCCACCATGGCCCACCCAAATCTGCACCCGCTCTCCCCTGCACACCGACGTAACTGCTTCCATCGCTGTTTGCACACCCTCATAATTGCTCTTACATGTGTGACGATCACAGGGCACGTGAGGGCCAGCTAGAGCTGAGCTTCACGCTCTGAGCCATCCCGTGATGTGCGCCCCCCAGGAAGCACTTTGTTTCTTAGGGCCAGGCAGGCAGGAACCCGGGAGCACTGTATAAAGAGCGCTCTATGCGCCTGCTCACTCACATTCCCCCACCCTCTTCTCCCCCAGCAGCGCCCGTGCCCCAGCCGTGCCCACGGGGCCCAGGGTCGGCAGGTACCTTTCTCTCCTGTGGGGCCGACTCTTCCGGGCCGTCCTGGGGCGCCTTTGTCCCCCTTCTCACCAGCATCCCCTGTGGAAGAAGCCACAGGCCGTTAGGACCTCACGCCAAGCGCCGGGCCCCGACCTCTGTGCGGAGGGAGCAACCGGAGAAAGCTGCTCCGTGTCTGTGCCTCCAGCCGGGCCCTGCCCTCCCTCCTGCCCAGCCCCAGGGCCTTCAGCCCGGGTCCCGACCCCTCCCACCGGCCTCCCTCTGTGTCTGCTCTCTGGACTCTGGGGTCCTCGCCCACCCTCTTCCCGAAGCAAGGCACCAGCCCCTCTCCAGCCAGCCCTCAGGGCTGGCGCCGTCTTTCCACTGGCCTCGCTTTCATTTATTTTGTTCAAAACTGAAACAGGGAAATGGGCTATCTGTTGAGTCTCCCAGGTACTGCATACTTGGCACATCCCAAATCAACCCCGGGGTTTTCTCCCAGAAGTGAGTCTCTTCTGTGGACTTTCCTGCCGTTGAGACTCGCCCGGACACCAAGCCCCAGGCCCCGAGTGGTTCTGGTTTTCCATCCCCCTCGCCAAGGCTGGCGGGCTACAGTCCATGGGGTCGCGGAGAGAGACAGAGAGAAGTCGCTCAGTCGTGTCTGACTCTTTGCCACCCCATGGACTGCAGCTGACCAGGCTCCTCCATCCATGGGATTGAATCCCAATCCAGGGATTGAACCTGGGTCTCCTNGAGAGAGACAGAGAGAAGTCGCTCAGTCGTGTCTGACTCTTTGCCACCCCATGGACTGCAGCTGACCAGGCTCCTCCATCCATGGGATTGAATCCCAATCCAGGGATTGAACCTGGGTCTCCCGCACTGCAGGCAGACTCTTTACCGTCTGAGCCAAAGACTGGGACGCAACTGGGAGATGAGTATCCGCCAGCCGTGCACAGGCCAGCCAGCTCTCCCCGTCTCCCTCTGCAGCCCCCAGGCCCGGCCGTGTCTCTGCAGCTCTGGGGGAGCGTGGACCGTGAGCCTGCCCTCACATGGCTCGGGACAGGGGCCAGGTCGTAGAGAACCCTGCGGAAGCAGGTTAGATGTGGTGGGAGAGGACGGAGTCCTGACAGAACATCCCGGCCCCCCCGCCCGCCCCGATCCCGCTCCAGTCCACGCCAGAATGACCTTCCTAAAACACAGAGCCAATTAGGACACCTTCCTTGGTTGGAGGTTCAAAACCACCGAATGCCAAATGTCCCTAAAAATAATGTCCCATCTCTAAGCCCCACAAGCCCATGCCCGGAGCCCAGGTCTTTCTCACACGGCTGCTTCCACCGAGTCGGCCACGACCATCAGCCCACCTGGAGGGGTTCCTTCTCATCATCAGACCCTCTAGGAGGCTGTTCTTCAGCCCCCCAAGGTGGGTCTCCCCTCTCTGGAGACGGGGAGCCTGTCCTCACCACAGTCATCACGCGTCTCGTAGCTTCCTGCTGCACCCCCTCCCGGGAGTGGGTGTGGCTGATGCACCTTCCCAGGTGTGCACAAAGCAGGCACAAGTTCCCAGGCGTGCACACGTTCAAGTGCACTTCCGTCCTGCGTGAACGCTTCACGTGCCCCTTCCCTGGGTGGCTGGCTTCTCTGAGATTACCGACTCCCCAGTGACATTGCCCAAACCGATAATCTGGCCTAAGAGTGTGGGCTGGGAAGTGTTCAACAAAGAGACGAGCAAAGTGAGTGCCAAGGAGACCTGGAAGGCGGGGGGCGTGTCACCGCCACCCCAGCACAGCCGTGGCGGCTCCGGGAGCCACTACTCAGGGTGACTGACACGTGAGGCACACACAGTCCTTGAATCGCCAGGTAGTTCTTGGGATTTTTTCTTATTTTCTAAAAAGGAATGGCAACCCACTCCAGTACTCTTGCCTGGAAAATTCCATGGATGGAGGAGCCTGGTAGGCTACAGTCCATGGGGTCACAAAGAGTCAGACACGACTGAACAACTTCACTTTTTTTCTTCTTTGAAAAGGAAGGAAACCATTGCAGCAATGGTACTGGGAGAAGCACTGATAATCCGGCGTGAAGCACCAGCTAACAGACTCATCTGTTACCGCCAAGAATCGGCGGACACTGCAGGGCCACCGACATCGTGAGAGAGAAGGAGCAGCCCAGGAGGCAGGACTCGGGTGGCAGCCAGAACCTGCTCTGAAATGAGACCCGGAGGATCCCCGCAAAGATGAGAGGCAACAGGAGCAAACGGCAGTGAGGAAGGACCAACTAGGGATCTCCTGCATGAAATGGATTTCCAAAACCAGTTACTCTGTAGACAGGGCTTCCCGGGTGGCACTAGTGGGAAAGAACCTGCCTGCCAATGCAGGAGACGTGGGTTCCATCGCTGGGTCAGGAAGATCCCTGGAGGAGGCCATGGCAACCCGCTCCAGTGTTCTTGCCTGGAGAATTCCATGGACAGAGGAGCCTGGCGGGCTACAGTCCATGGGGTCGCAAAGAGTCGGACACGACTGAAGCGACTTAACACACACATAGACAGGCTGAGCAACAGAATAGCCAATGACAAGGCTAGTTTATGAAACAAGAGATTAGATAGAAGGGCTTGGATGAAGGGCTGGAAAGTTTTGTTTCGGTTTTGAAGTTATCGAGTCGGGAATTGAAGAAAAAACCCACAAATCCCCACACCCACCACACAGGAATTCCAGCAAAGGGGAACAGACGTTTGAGGCTTCATAGCTGTGATTTTCCAGCTCTGCGGAAAGTCACGAAGGGTGAGATGCGAGCGCCCACAGAGCAGCAGCAGAAGAAAATGAGGGAAACAACTCAGATGTGCTAGAGTGACACACGGGACGTCCAGAGTAAAGAGAAAATTCTGCAAGCAACACGAGCAAAAGGAATATTTAAAGCCTGTGTGCATGTGAATGGGAATGAGACGGATGTGAATCCCCAGTAGTGACATGGGCTATGAGAATAAAATGAAGCAGATTTTCAACAAAAGGCCATAATTTAGACAGAGATCAGGAGGGGCCTCCCCGATGACATGGCTTCTGACAGAGACCTGCTGAAGCAGGCGGATGCACCCAGGCAGGGAGTGAGCGGGGAGAGGACCGCCTGGGCAGGTGAGGAGCGGCGAGCTGGGGGTCTGGGTCGGCGGCGGGGAGCCCGGAGCAGCCTGCGCTCAGACCAGACGCCCCGCCAGGCTGCGGGAGGGAAGCGCCCACCAGAGCACCTGCTGCGTCGCAGGAGGGCAGTGAGGAGACTGTCCACGTCTCTGAGAGCACCTGGGGAGCCTGGACCTCACGGGGCCTCTACGGTCCTGGAAAAATAGCACCAGCAAACCCACCAGGTTTTCTTTCATCAGTTAGGATGGACTCCGAGAGCTCACACACCGCTTCAATCATCTCCATAGCATCACCACCTCCCCCCCCCACACCCCATGTGACTCGGGAACTGTGTCCACTTCATGGATGAAGATTCAGGCCAGAGACAGGCCACACGTCAGCCCTCTAACCCTGGCCTCAGCCACGCTTCCCGGGACAGCCAAGCCCTGGGGAGCAGACAGGCGGCCAAGCCCCTCCTTGGGGAGAGAAAGCCATCACGCTGCCTCCTGTCCCACGTCCACCTGCTTCCATTGGCTGTCTCCAAGGATCTGGCAGGGGTTGGGAGTGAGGATCCAAGGTCAGCAAGAGCCTGAAGAGCTCCGAACATCACCTCGTGTCCCCGGACTCCCCTTGCTGAGACAGGAACAGGAATAAGACATCACCTGACACGGTTAAGGCTTCCTGATGAGTGGGACCCATGGGGCTTCTTTTCTTTTTTCTAATTAATTAATTCAATTGTAGGATAATTACTTTACAATACCGCGGTGATCTTTGCCATACGTCGACGTGACTCAGCCACGGGTACACACGTGCCCCCCATCCTGAACCCCTCCCACCTCCCTCCTCTGAGGGGTTTCTCCCCTCCCAAGTGTAGGCAGAGAGCCCTCCTCGCCCTTCTCCCAAGGCTCTGGGGCTCTGACGCGTGACTCTCTGGCTCCAGGCCCTTCAAGCCTTCCCCAGCGCTGGATGGGGGCCCCAAGCCTTCCTCGCGGTCCTGCCGGGGGTCGTCCAGAACCTGGAGTCCCCTGGCCTCCTTGCCCCAGGCCATGTAGACTGTCCTGCCTGGCTCCCTCATCTCTGAAAAGGAGGGGATGACCTGTGTGCACACAGCGTGCTGGGGGCCGCTGGAAATACTCAGATACGGAGACTCAGCACAGGAAAGCTCCTGGTCACCTGTCCAGCGACCTTGACCTTGACCTTGACCTTGACTTCCTCCTTGTACATGCACCCTAGAGGCGCATCCAGGAACACAGGCGGTTTCCAAGCCCTGTTGGTGTTCGGCAGGGCCTGAATTCATGGTGTCTGCTGTCTGGGGGCATAGAGCCTGGCCTATACTCCTGCGGGGCTGCGGGGTCCTTGCTGGGGACTGTCCTCCTGACCCCTCCCGCACACACACGTGATGACACGCATCCGGCAACGCACACAAGCCCGGGAGCGCGGAAGCCTTTCGCCACAGCCGGGTCTCTGTTGGGCGCTGATCTGGGGCCGATTTGCTACGTCAGGTTCTGAATGACGGGTATTCGGGTATTCGTAGTGTCTCCACCAGCAGAGGCTGACACTTTGCTGTCTTGCTCATTTCCTGCGGCTGTGTGCAGATGTCCTCTGGCCTCAGGGAAGGGAGGCTCGCCTGGAGACTCGTGGGCGAGCTCCCCCGCCTAGACTGCACTCGGGGAGACTCTCCACTGGAGCGAGAAGGCAGGGCGCGCATCGCGGGCTGAGTTCACAGCTGCCGGGGGAGGACCACAGCGGCTCGGCTCTCACCACACCTGCTGCAAATGCCAAGTCTGTGGGCAGACCTCCCCAGGCCGAGCGCAGGGCACAGGGGCCCCAGCAACGGAAGGAAGGGGCCTGGAGACAGCAAGAGAAGGGGACACGGGCCGGGAGAGACATTTCAGAAGAGCGAAATTCCCAAGTGCGTGTGTGAGTCACGTAACTGGTTTTATCAACCTTCCTCCAATCAATTTTTTCTCCAGTGGTCATGTATGGATGTGAGAGTTGGACCATAAAGAAAGCTGAGCGCAGAAGAATTGATGCTTTTGAACTGTGGTGTTGGAGAAGACTCTTGAGAGTCCCTTGGACTGCAAGGAGATCCAACCAGTCCATCCTAAAGGAGATCAGTCCTGGGTGTTCATTGGAAGGACTGATGCTGAAGCTGAAACTCCAATACTTTGGCCACCTGATGTGAAGAACTGACTCATTGGAAAAGACCCTGATGCTGGGAAAGATTGAAGGCGGGAGGAGAAGGTGATGACAGAGGATGAGATGGTTGGATGGCATCACCAACTCAATGGAGATGAGTTTGGGTAAATTCCAGGAGTTGGTGATGGACAGGGAGGCCTGGCGTGCTGCAGTCCATGGGGTCGCAGAGTCAGACACGACTGAGTGACTGAACTGAACTGAATCAATCAATTGGATAAAACCTTCAGAATAACGATGCCGTTTTAAAATCTCTGAGTGGCAGGCTTGCTAATACACACTAGTGTTCTCCCTGCAACCCCATTGTTTCAGCCATAATGGAAAGGGCTCTTACTCTCTCTGAATGCAAAGAGAGCATGCTATTTTTGGGTCTGCAAACGGACCTCACCTCAAGCACAGCGCCAGTCTAGGGGAAGGCCGCTTGGAATCGTGCTGAGAAGGACCTGAAGCCCCTGTGGACTCGGTGGAGGAGGCATCTGCATGGGACGGCAGAGGCGGCAGCGTTCACAACCCTCTGTGCCTCCAGGGTCCCTCTCTAAGGAGACGGGCACTGACTGGTCCTTGCGAGCTGAGTCTGGCCCCATGTTTATCTAATGGACAAGCGGAGGCCACGCACCTCCTCTTTCACCTTAAGAGCAGGACCCATATTGTGTTTCTACTTCCATCCCCACCGGCCAAGGCCATTCCTGACACGCGTGCGGTCATCAGACAGGCTCTTGGGCACGTTCCGGGCAGGTGTGGCTGGCAGAGCCCTTGTCCCCTCCCTGGCTCCCTGTGTGGCTGGAGCACCCAGTGGTCGGGAAGCCGCTTGGAGAGGGCAGGGGGCGGTCGGGCATCCCCTGTGCCCTGAAGCTGGGTGTGACGCTGACGCTCTACACATCGAGCGCTGGAGCAGTCCCAGCCCCCCCACAACCCTGAGCCCCATGGAAGGACCTGGGGTCAGAAGGGCCTCTCTCCGCTCCCGGGGGCCTCCTGCTCTCTGCGTCTGGGGAGCGTCCCGGAACGCCTGTGAGGTCAGAGACGGAGCTGTGAGCCGGGGATCCAGGCAGTGAGGACCAGCCGAGCGCAGCTGCCCCCTGCTCCCCCCTCTCCCGCCGCAGGGGCCCAGGTCTGGGGGGGCCCTGCCGTGATGCCAGCCTCACTCTGCAGGGGGCACGTGTGCTCGGAGACCTGAGCGTCTCTCCTCCACCCTTCCCCCGCTGCCCCACACAAAGCCCAGACCACTGAATCCCTCCTCGCTTCCAGTCAGCACCCTCTCATCCAGAAGGCCCTCACGCGGCCCCGCAGCTCCGAGTCAGAACACACCGCGCAGAGAGTATCCAGGCGAGGTGCGGGTGGGCCCGTCAGCGTGACCCTGCAGCCGGTTCACAAGGAGCCTGTGGCGTCCAGCATCACGCGGCTCGCCCTGAATAGCCGCCACAGCTTGTTTGTCAGTTATGCCTCGGCAAAGCCGGATAGCTAAGAAAAAGCAAGCTGTCCAGATCCCAAGGGCTTTTGCAAATATACTAGGAAGTTTCTCCACTGGAAATGCCGGTTTGATGTCGACAGACTAGCATGAAACCACACGTGTGAGACGAGGCTGCCCCGAGATCCGGGATCCAGACCGCACGCTGAGTGACAGCATGTCACCCATGGCCCCAGACGTCCCACGCCGCGGCTTGCAGCCTGTCCAACCGCCTGCTAGTGGGTGAGCCTTGGTGAGCAGGGTCCAGGCGGATTCAGCGACACACCCGCTCTGCGGAAGACCTCGCACGGCATTTGCTCACTGCACCTGCCCAGCCCGTGCGTGTGGGAGGGGCAGGGGGGACCACTGGTCAGCTCTCTGTGGACTGGCCTTTGCCTGGCAGTTCAGTGGCTCACCAGGTGGTGAGAAACCATTGCTGAAGGAAGCGACCGGTCCCTGGGGCGGCTGCCCATGGGGGAGAAAGCCGTACCAGGCCCATGGAGCATGTGGGCCAGAGACATCTCATCTGGATGCGGCAGAAACGGTGCTAGCGTCCCGGAACGCCTGTGAGGTCAGAGACGGAGCTGTGAGCCGGGGATCCAGGCAGTGAGGACCAGCCGAGCGCAGCTGCCCCCTGCTCCCCCCTCTCCCGCCGCAGGGGCCCAGGTCTGGGGGGGCCCTGCCGTGATGCCAGCCTCACTCTGCAGGGGGCACGTGTGCTCGGAGACCTGAGCGTCTCTCCTCCACCCTTCCCCCGCTGCCCCACACAAAGCCCAGACCACTGAATCCCTCCTCGCTTCCAGTCAGCACCCTCTCATCCAGAAGGCCCTCACGCGGCCCCGCAGCTCCGAGTCAGAACACACCGCGCAGAGAGTATCCAGGCGAGGTGCGGGTGGGCCCGTCAGCGTGACCCTGCAGCCGGTTCACAAGGAGCCTGTGGCGTCCAGCATCACGCGGCTCGCCCTGAATAGCCGCCACAGCTTGTTTGTCAGTTATGCCTCGGCAAAGCCGGATAGCTAAGAAAAAGCAAGCTGTCCAGATCCCAAGGGCTTTTGCAAATATACTAGGAAGTTTCTCCACTGGAAATGCCGGTTTGATGTCGACAGACTAGCATGAAACCACACGTGTGAGACGAGGCTGCCCCGAGATCCGGGATCCAGACCGCACGCTGAGTGACAGCATGTCACCCATGGCCCCAGACGTCCCACGCCGCGGCTTGCAGCCTGTCCAACCGCCTGCTAGTGGGTGAGCCTTGGTGAGCAGGGTCCAGGCGGATTCAGCGACACACCCGCTCTGCGGAAGACCTCGCACGGCATTTGCTCACTGCACCTGCCCAGCCCGTGCGTGTGGGAGGGGCAGGGGGGACCACTGGTCAGCTCTCTGTGGACTGGCCTTTGCCTGGCAGTTCAGTGGCTCACCAGGTGGTGAGAAACCATTGCTGAAGGAAGCGACCGGTCCCTGGGGCGGCTGCCCATGGGGGAGAAAGCCGTACCAGGCCCATGGAGCATGTGGGCCAGAGACATCTCATCTGGATGCGGCAGAAACGGTGCTGAAGCAGATGGAGACAGCCTCTTCTCAGAAGTGCCCTCGAGATGCGCTTGTAAACCCAGACGCCTGACTCTAGATGCTGCCCCTGTTTTGTATTTAATCTGTGGACACGGCTGAGCTGTAGACAGGCGGGGCTGCGCCCTCCTGGACTCTGCTCAGAAGCGCGTCTGTGCTATGGCGGTGGGTCTCCTTCCAGCTTTTCTTCCAATTTCTGTGCATTTGTATATTTTTATTGGGATTCAGAAGGGACCATTTAAAATTGCTGACTCTTTCTACAACAACTGGTCTATGTGTAAAGCGTTCCTTAGGACCTCCTCCTGGTTGCCTTTCCCAGGTTACCCGCCCGCCCACTGGCCTCCATGTGGGAGGCCCAGCCCGGGAGGCCTGGGGACCATACCTTTGAGGCCGGGAACGAGGATCTGCACGGAGCAGGCGTCGTCCACCGTCTGCTGAGCGGCCCCAGCCCGGAGCACACACAGGAAGGCCAGGCCCATCAGAGCCAGAGCCCGCTTCATGGTGAGGCTGGCAGGATGCTGACTCCTGGAGGGATCGGGGAGGAATAAACAGTGATGGGAATTCCGAAAGCCCAGAGTGAGTGACAGTGTGCAGGCTGCCTGCCTGGGGCTGCTGCCATCGTTCTGGGGCATCCCTTTCTCTCTCTCCGTCTCTTTCTGCCTCTTTCTCTTTCTCACTCGGCTGCTAACTTAAAATCCTTCACCCAGACGTCCCCTTGCCCAGGAGTGACAACAATGACCATCCTGGGAGGTGTTACTCCGGATTGTTGTCTTTTGGTTCTTTATAACTAAGGTTCATTACACACAAAGGCGTGTTCATCATCAAAAACCAAACGCTGGAAAGCCAGCCCCTCACACGATGGCGTCCTGACCCCAGTCTCTGGCGCCTGCCCCAGCCGCGTCTCCTGCAGAGGGGCCTGTCCGCACGCCTGTGAGCCTGCCCGCTCCCCCTGCCCTGGAGTCGGCTCAGCGGATTCCTGGACAGCGCAGGGCTGGTGCATCCGGATCTCGGTCCTGGGATCCTGGTTCTCACTGCGCGGTCTTACCCGCTTGACTCAGCATTTTATTTTGCTTGTTTAGTTGCTCAGTCGTGTCCGACTCTTTGTGACTCCGTGGACTGTAGCCCACCAGACTCCTCTGTCCCTGGGATTCTCCGGGCAAGAACACTGGAGTGGGTTGCCTCTTCCTCCTAAAGGGGATCTTCCTGACCAGGGGTCGAGCCCTTCTTTCCTGCATCGCAGGTGGGCTCTTTACCACTGAGCCACCAGGGAAGCCCTTAGTCAGCATTAGCCTCCAGGAGGCATGTACATTGTGTTGCTACAGGCGCCTGTGGCTTATCCGTTATCTCCTCACATCGATGAGAAGGCGTCTCACCACGAGGGCTGGGGCGGGAAGAGAGGGAACCGCCACTTTAGCGGCAGATCGCTTCTGCTCAGGTCGATGGTCTCTGCCTTCTTGGTGTTTGTGGAATGCAGGCCATGTTCAGATTGTTTTAATCAAAAGTGTACATGAGAATATGCTCTCTAGCTAGAAACAACTACATCAGGAGACTACCAGGGTGTTTAGCAAGACCTATTGCTCTGACTGGTCATAGCAAACACCGTCTTCCAACAGCACAAGAGAAGACTCTACACATGGACATCACAAGATGGTCAATACCAAAATCAGATTGATTATATTCTTTGCAGCCAAAGATGGAGAAGCTCTATACAGTCAGCAAAAACATGACCAGGAGCTGACTGTGGCTCAGATCATGAACTTATGCAAAATTCAGACTTAAATTAAAGGTAACAGGGAAAACCACTAGATCATTCAGGTATGACCGAAATCAAAACCCTTATGACTATACAGTGAAAGTGAGAAATAGATTTAAGGGACTAGATCTGAAGAATGCCTGATGAACTATGGATGGACGTTTGTGACATTATACAGGAGACAGGAATCAAGAGCATCCCCAAGGAAAAGAAATGCAAAAAAAGCAAAATGGCTGTCTGAGGAGGCCTTACAAATTGCTGTGAAAAGA